GAATGGATACCACTTCCCTGAGCAGCCTGTGCCAATGCTTGACAACCCTTTCTGTAAAGAAATTTATCCTAATACCCATTTATAAACCTCTCCTGGTGCAACTTGAGGCCATTTCCTCTAGCTCCACTGCTTGTTACTTGAGAGAAGATAACAACCCCCACCTTGCTACAGCCTCCTTTCAGGTAATCATGGAAAGCAATGAGGTCTCCCATGAGCCTCCTTTTCGCCAGGCTAAACAGCCCCTGTTTCCCCAGCTGCTCCTCATAAGACTTGTGCTCCAGACCCTTCACCAGCTCTGTTGCCTTTCTCTAGACAGATGCCAGCACCTCAATGCCTTTTTTGGAGTGAGGGGCCCTGTGGGCAAGGCTTTTACCAGCAGTCTGAGTGACAGCAGTATGCTTTCATCCTCTTCTCTCCTCGGCACATTTCCTGCACCATTCCTTATGCTATGCAATCAGCAAACCAATCTGGCTGAAAGAGAAGAAGAAAATGCAAAAGTTTTATTTCCAGGATTAGGTTTCAAATGTTGGCGGCACAGTCTGAGGTCAGATTAGTCTGCTGGTGAAATCCATGACTTCACCTCACGTCTTCAATCAGAGCAGCCACTTCACTGGACAAAAGCCAACTTGGACTAGCAAGGGTGGGATGCTGCTTGCCTGACACAGGCCTGCTTCTCACCCAGGCAGGAGCAGCCAAAGGGTAGTTTGCAGTAGCTGGGGTCCTGATGCATTTCTACAAAAAATCATTTTAATTTTTTTTAAGCTCCGTTTCAACCTTGGCCATTTTTCCTAATTTACAATGGATGCGGTGAGCACAAGCTGTTTTATCCTAGAAGCTCTCTGTGTCCTGAGCTTCCTGGTGAGAGGACCTAAGAGGGAGAAACACCATATTCAAACATACATGAAGGCAAGGAGCACCAAGGCGAGAGCAGAGGTGCTAACACTACCTTCAAACAAAGCAGAGGTACAGTTTCTTGAGCACAGGGACAACCTGGAATGATACACTTGCTGATCTCTGAGCAAGCCCATCACCAATTATAATTGAATTTTCTTTGTGTTCAGGTATGTGGGATGCTGTGGCTACTTCCCTTTAGATGCACAGGGAATGTGATAGCAGAAAACACGTTTGGATTTTTAACTATTCTGACCCTGCTAGTGTCACTCCTGTAAGACCCCAATGTGTCTTATACATTCAACAGGAAAGAGACAAAGGTAAATGACTTGGTAAAAGCCAAGAGATTCTGATGATACCAAACTAATTTAGAAGGAAAAGAACCAGCAATGTCAAGCTGGAAAACTCACAAACTGAAATGAAAAATCAGAAGTTGAACATTTAACCAGAGGATGATCAGTAATTACACCAGAACAACAGGTAGCAAAGGCCATATTTGCCATTTCTTGAAATATCCATAATGACTTTTCATTTTTCCTGGAAAATAAACTTTAACTAAGTAGGTTATAATCTCAGTTACAAATACTACAGTCCACATTATGTTGGATATCAGATTCTGAGACCAAGCTTGCTTTTAAACCTAAATCCTATGTCAGTACACTGTATGGCTCAACCGCTCCACGTTAAAACAAAATTAAGTCTGTCATTGGTTTTGTCCAATGGACTTGGATAATTAAGGTCTGGTTATTTTTTTTAAGATAACATCCACAATTAAAAGTTCAACCTGGAAACAGGCATCCAAACCCAAGAAATAGGACGGATATCCATACTTTGGCTGCTGTGACTTCGAGCAGTAAGATACTTGCATAAATGTGATTTATTAAGGTGTCTTAAGTAGTTTTATTTTAATGACTCCAGCTGTTGAACAAAGGTGTGTTGCCTCCTACCACAGCCATACTATGTTTTCTTCAGCATTGTCTTTCTTGGAAAGCCTACAAATTCAAGGCAAAGCCTTCTAATAAAAGCTAAGGCATTTGGGAAGATGATGACACAGCAATTCTGTGTTGGAAAGGAATAAACCAGGAGGATGATCAGAGACCTTATAAACTCCCGTAATTCATTTCTAAAATGCCCCTGCTTAGAAAAAAATTAAAATGCGTTAATTGCTAACAGAAATCTGACAGAGCGACTTTTGCTGCTTTGCCGTTGTTTTAAGTGGTGGGAGGCTTCAGGAGGCAGCTGAGCTACCCTGCTAGTTTCCTGCAGGTCCCACGTCCCCCCTCAGCTCCCTTTGAGCTGCTCCCGGCACCCAGCTGACTTCCCAGGGAGCTCACCAAAATGGCAGGAAATTAACCCAGAGAGGGAATAGTTTTCTGGCTTGATGAGCTGAACCACCAGCTCGACGGGCAGGGAAGAGAGGGCAAGGTCTCCCTCTTCTGACAGCAGCAAGTGGGCAGCTCCCCTGGCCAGGACCTAACTCAGCCCAGCTTCAGGGCTCCTAGCACTCACCAACTTGCCAGGTATCGCTGTCAAATCATTATTGAACAACATCATGACAAACCTGTAGAATTATTCTAAGCTTTAATACTGTAAATAGTAATATGATTTGTTATTCAAAACCAGGAAGCTTGATACTCAAATCCTTGAAGATCAGAAGGATGACGAAAACTGAGAAACATAAATTAAGGCTTTGTGCTTTTGATGGAGACCAATTCATAACTGGCAGGATAAGTACAAAGAATGGAATCTGGTTATAGCCAGGCCCCATAGTTCTATGGAAATGTTGTCCAAAGCTGAAAGAATAGCTAAAGTTGTTATGGCAAAGATAGGTCCACATCAGAAGGTTCCTTGATAATGATTCTTTGTTCAAATTTAAATTAGACATTTGCTTCTATTTTGAGAGTTATAGCACAAACCTGTGTGTTTCAGGTAAATCAAGTAACACCTTGCTGATTCAACAGAGATTTACTTGTATTGATTAACTGGACAAGTAAAAATGCCGAGACAAACCTAGAAGGACTGTTAAATTCCATTGCTTATTTTCAGAGGTCATTTTGGAAATCACAAGTAATATGGGTTATTCTAGGTTTCAGACTAGACACAAAAAACTAAACAGAGGCAAGGCACATGTTGAGTGTTGAGTTGTGGTTTTAATTCTATTTTCAACATAGTTTATATGACTTAGGACTCCAGCAAGCAAACAAGCCAACCATTGAATCCAAAACTTAGAATACATTTTGCATAGCTCAGCACAGAGAAGTTACATTATCTGAATGGTATTTTTCAGTTAAGTAAAAATAAAATTAGAAAATTACTAGTTGGCTGGGGAAAAAAAAAAAGAAAAATTAAGAGAAGAGCCTTTCTCACATTTTAAACAGCAGAGACCTTTGCATATAGTACAAAGAAGTTTAATAGCCAATGGGTGATATACTTTTTCACTCTTCCTCTAATCTACACTGTAAATCAAAATAATCTCATAAAAGGTTAAATTATTAAGAACAGCGGCCCAATGGAAGTGTCATGCAACCAGGAAACCAGGATGACCATAAAAAGAAAATGAGGCTGCTGGTAACCATTATAATGTAAGGCAGAATCACAAACGCTAGCACCAAACCTTTTTCTGTTCCAGTTATAACCCTTGAGAATTTTGTGTGTTGGATTTTTTCCCCCTCTTTAAAGACAGACATAGGCCCTTTAACCATCCCCGTTTCAGTTTCTCTCTTCCTAGCTACGGTTTCTTACAGTAACTTGTCTGTCATTGTCCATGAGCTTAAACAGAGCACTGCATAAGCTGTATGCATCACATATCTGTCCTCAAGATGCAAAATCCTTCCATGCGAGGGAACATTTTGGTGCAATCTAATGCGAATGCTGAGCCCAAGAGAAGCAGGACGATGAGGTATTACACCAATATATTTCTGTAGAATTAAAAAAAAAAAGGTAATTTAAAAGTACCAGTGGCGAAGATCAGTGACCACAGGAGCAAGTTCCTACACGGTTCGCTGTATTAGAGAATTAACTTCTAAATTAACCCAAAGCGCCGGAGCCTCCCTGCAGCCGGAGGCGGCCCCGGCAGGCGCAGCAGCCCTTCCCCGCACAGGGCAGGAGACCTCCCGGGTGAGAGAGAGTCTTAATCGCGGCCACTTTCCTCCCCCGGCTCCCCGGGGCTGGCGGAGGCCGGACCGCAGCGCCCGCAGCCCCCGGCCCCGACACGGCTCCCCCAACTCCGCAGGACACTCCCCGGCGCCGGCGGAGGACCCCCTCCGCCCCAGCCCCTCGGCGGCGGGACTCCCTCGGCCCCAGGGCTGGCGCGGTGTCACCCGCAGGCACGGCCGCCCAGGCGGGAGCGGGAGGCGGCCCCGGCGCCCTGCGGCGGGATCCCGCGGCACCCCCTCGCCCGCACCCCGCCGGTCCGGCGGGAGCCGCTGACAGGTCGCCGCCAGTGGCCCCGGCACCTGCGCTGCGCTCACCGCCCTTAGAGGAGGGGCTGCCGGCCAGACCGCGGCGCGGCGGAGCGGGAGGGAAGGAGGGAGGTACGGCGGGAGGCGGCGGCGCACGGCCGGCGGCGGGCGGGCCCCGGGGGCCGGCGGGCGCCCCTCGCCCTCGCCCCGCCGCGGGGCCGGGCGGCCGCGGCGCCACCGACACCTTACTTCCTGCTTCGCTACCCGGGGCCAGACCCATCGCGGCGGAGGGATCCCGCCGCCTCCCGCAGCCTCCTCCCCCTCCTGCTTCTGCTTTTCCCCGCTCTCTGCTGCAAGGAAATTATTTGACAGCGATTTGCTGACACTGGTTTTTTTTTTTTTCCTCTTCTCTTCCCCCCCCCCCCCCCCCTTTTCTTTTTGCATCACGGACTCGGCAGCGCGGCGGGCGGGGGAGGCCGTGCCGGAGGTAAGTGCCGGTGCCCGGAGCCTCCCCCGGCGCGGGGCCCCCGCCCCGCTCCATGTGCCGCCGCCGGGGTGGGTGCCGGGCAGCGGGGCCGCGGGGGGCCGGGGCAGCGCGTTTCCTGGCGGAGCGATATTTGTTTACAGGATGGGCGCCGTACTGTAAGTGAAGGAGGACCGAGCCCCGGGCAGCTCCGTAATAAATTAATATCGCGATTTGCTCGCGCCTCGCCGACACCGCCACGGGCCCCGCGCCCGGCCCCCCTTCCCCCCACCACGCCTGCACTTGTTGCAGACTTGGCGCCAGGTAGGGGCAACGCTTCGCAAGTTTCGCTTCTGCAGGAGCCGGGGCAGCGCTGGACGAGAAGAGGGGGGGTAGGGGGTGGAAAGGGAAAAAAAAAAAAAGTTTGCAGCTCGCAGTTCACTTTCGTTCTGCAGCGCCCAGGCCCTGCCGGCTCCCGCCGCCCCGTCCTGCCCGGCCGGCTGCGGGCGGGCGGGGGGTGCGCGGTACCTGGGCGGCCCGGGCGGGCGGAGCGGGGCGCGGGGGCCGGCGGCGGGGCGCCCCACCGCGGCGCTGCCGCCCAGTCCCGGGCGCCGCCGCGCCGTGCCGGGGAGGAGAGGAGAGGAGAGGCGGGGAAGGGCGGCTCGGCGGGGCTGGCCGCGGAAGTTCTCCGAGCTGCCGCGCTGTCACGGCCCCTTGACACGAGTGTCCAACCCGCGCGCGGCTCCCCCCCCGCCCTTCGCCCCGCAGCGCGTTCGGTGCCGTCTCGGTATCAGTGTTGGATGCGGGGCGGTCCCGGGGCATTGGCTGTGGAGCCCTTCCCGGGCGGCACCGCGTGGGGCGGCGAGCTCGTCTTGGAGGAATGGGAATTTCTCCTTTCCCGCGGGAGAGGAGCGCGCGGCGGGTTGGGCGCTGTCGGGGCGATCCGATTTTCTGGCCCGTCAACATGCGGGGTGGTAGCGAACAAAAACTCGTAGCCAGGTGTTTAAATACCGGAGAGGTGATTTGCAAGTGAAATTAATCGGCAGTTAACCACTTAATAAATGGATAATGCCTACTCATCCTTCTGTTGACTTTACAGAGTGGTTTTCACGTGTGCCGGTCACCTAGCCAGGCTTGACTGGTCAAGATGTAAACTTAGCGGGATTAGTGCCTTCATCCAGTCAAATCTGACCTGCACTTACTGTCCCTGTGCATCAGTGCTGGTTGTCATTCAGATGGTTACAAGTGAAGTTCATACATTTTTGCAGATTAGTATGATAGCAAAATAGATATGATGACCCACAGCTTAATTATTTATGGAAAAAATTGCAAAGTGCTTAACTGCATGATTAATGTTCTAAGCGGATAATTACCGGGGAGGAATTTTTATGCCTTTGACAGCTACAGTTTTATTGCAGGTATGGGAAGAGGAGAGAGTTAACTTGGCAAGTTGGCCTGGCGTGCTGGGCTGTTCGTTAGGGCCACCCTGCTGCCTGCTTGGGGCTCTGGCCCACAGAGAGACTTGGTCCCTCGCTAGGGGTACAGTGCCATGACGAAGTGATCCATTCTTATAATGTTGGCATTTGCATGAATTGTGTCTGCATGCGCTATATGCAGCTGTTTGTTTTTGTCCCTTATCTTCTTGGTGGTCTTGGATGCTAAGTTGGATCGGAATGGAGCCATTGCCTTAATAAGACTCATGTATCTAGAAATGAGCCACTTCAGTTTGTTGCCCAGTGAAGTGATGGGGCGTGATGTGCCCTGTGTGTGTTACGTCTTTTAATAAGGCTTGTCCGAGTCACACATTTAAGAACAGAAATGCTGCTCCATGAGTGTTCTGTGCATATACATGAGGCACAGAAGTTGTTATACATCTTTGCTTAAAACAAAGAAAGATATTTGTGTAGAATTTAAATAAGTGAATTTTCATGCGAAGAAAATGTGTTGTATGCATTTTTCTTCCATAACTGATACTCTGATATACTTTGCAAAAATTTAAGGCTTAAATATAGTCTACTCAAAAGTTTTGGTGTGAATAAATGCTCTTATGATCTGTTCTGCTACCATTGATAAGCAGCTTGTGTTTCTGAAGTTGGGTGACAGTGAGGAACTGAGCAGCACTGCGATGTGGTAGTCAAACCCAGTGTATCTTGAAAAGCCAAAAAATCTCAAATGTAAGTAATGCACTTCACTGTGAAAGTTGGCCTGAGTGAGGAGTGAAGAATTGTCTTCTTGGTGAAATGATAAGGCCAGAGCTTAATCATGCTGTTATCAATGTACGTCTTGCTGTTGGCATCCCTCCCTGGGGGAGAGGGATGAGGCCTCGAGTAGCTAGGCAGGCATCCTGCCTCCAGTATTTATATCAATCCTGCATAGGCCAACATAAGCATAAATAAACCACAGCATGACTAACCTCTCTACCTAATATTGACTCACGTTGTATTTGGATAGACTGAAAAAGTCTCCATGCCTTAGCCATTTCATTTTCTCAGTCTGTATGTTGCTAATGATGACCTGCCTCGTGAGAACGCTTCGGTATGCATTTAAGACCATTAAGCAAGTCTTTGTTTCAGATTTGTTTTGTTTTTGGGTAGTACTCAACTAGCCTAGATAGGAAAAAGGAATTCCTAGATTTTAGCCTCAAAACTGTGTCGCTTCTCTTCTTCTGGCCTTTTTAATTCTTCCAGTGATATACTGAGACTTGCCATTATAAACTGAGCTCATAACTTGGCACCTGGCAAGGAGTGTGAGAAAAGTATAGGAAGAGCAGTCCTGTAATGTACTGTAGGTTCCCTAAAGCATTAAGATAATATTTTGCTGTGAGTATTGTCATCTTATTTTTTTGTTTGTTCTAATCAAATAGGGAATGTGTCACCTAAAAACTTACTCAGCAAAGTGTTTGAGAAGGCTCTTCTCTCCCTTTACCAATACTGTAATGGGACAGTAGTAAAGTAAAGAAGAAGGACCCTGGGTTGTGCCTCTTTATTATGTGTCATAACAACTTGTGAGATAAGGTAGTTTCATTTCAGCTTCCTTAGAAATACGTGCTCTGGTTTTGTTGGTTTTTTTTTAAAAAGCAAGCAGTGTTTGACATATGAAATAATGGTTGACGTGGAAACAGTTTGTTTCCTCTCCTTGCATTTTTTGGGGGGCTGCATATCTGAACAGTTCCAAGGAAAAATTATCAGAGTTATAGTTTTTTCTGTCCCTAAAAAACAGATTCTTTTGGCTCCCCTCCACCTGTAAGAAGTAGGCAAAAGCATCCTTAAGCACATGTATAAATTCTGCCTGGAGTGGCTGCCACACCCTTGGCTGTTTATGTAAGGTGAGGAGCACAAGTGGTGGTCGCACTGACTTCTATGGCACTGCTTACAAGAGTTGAGTTACCCTGTGTGTATTTGTAGGACGGGGAGTGAGGGGGTTGCATTTGAAACTAAGGGAGCTAATTCCATATGTTTTGCTGCATATGAAGTTATAAAAGCTCTTCTTAACTTGTCCATCTCTGAGAAACCTATTATTGTAATCAGTTGCAGAGCTGTGAGGGGAAATCAAGCCTTCTAAGATAAAGATAAAAATAGCACATTCAAATATATTTTAAGAAAGGCGACTCTTCCTTCAAAGGGTAGATCTGAGTGTGGTTCAAAGAACGGTAGCAACAATTTTATGAGGTTTTTTTGTTTTTTTAACTCTTTGTTTGAAACCAAACATTTAAGAGATCCATTGAAGTTACTTCTGAGCAGCATGCATTTGTGTGCCAAGTTATTTTATGGACCTTGGGGTGGTATTTCCCCTTAGATCTGGAGATGCCGAGAAAGGGCTCTTGCACCATCATCTCCTTGCTGCTGCTACTGTATGTCCAGCCTGGCCAGGAGGATGAAGTAGGTTACACAGTTGGTCAGCAAGTCATATCAGCGCTGGTTCTTGTTGGATATTGGTTTCTGTGGGCAAAAGGAATATTGTTTTTGATAGTGGTTTCTCTTATCTCTTTTTGGTTTGACCATGTCACTCCATGTTGTTAGGGGTGTGGGCTCACCTGGACCTGCTCAAAATAGCAGCAGAAAGAAAAAAAATCCATTGATTTTTGTGGGGGAAAACTAGAAAATGTGCTCGGGTTACAACCCGCTGCCACAGAAACTAGAAGGCAAGTACTTAATTTACATTACTTTCTTCTTGAGAGGATAATAGTTTGGGGAGCCCAGGGCATGCTTTTAAATGTATGCCCTATTACCCTATAATAGGGCTTTTTTTTTTTTTTTTTTTAAATTTAAACTCTTCGTACCAGAGTGGGGGTGTTGCAGGGGCTTGGGGTAATTGTGTAGCATTGGGTATATTTTGAGGTTCTGAGTGAAATGAGTCTTGTGGTTTCAGCTTACTCTGTAATAAATGTAGTGTGTCGCACACAAGCAGCCCACCTAAGTTTTCATAACTGACTGATGATTTGCTCTGGAAAGACCCAAAATACTGATATGATGCAGATTCAAAAGGTAGTTGATTTTTTAAAAAAAAATTCTTTTTAGTTTGTCATTCTCCAATTTACAGTTCAAATTTTGTTAGAATTTCAGTCAAATAACTAATCTTCAGCTTCCCATGCACCACTCAGCTGGGCTGCTGGAGGTCACTTCCCAGGCAAGTGGCCACAAGTGCTGACTTTCCATACCCCACCAGTGTCTAAAGCAGGCATCCTGGCTCGTCACAAATTTTCTCCTGTCTGTTTAGTTCAGCGAGAAAATGGTTGCTGTCTTTCCCCTCCCTCCCCTCATCAACTGCTCATGGTAAGATTTTTGATAGAGCCCGCATTGTGATATGTCCTTGAAGTACAGAGCTGCAAGGTTTTGTTTTCCTTTGCCATTTTTTCTCTTCATGTTTAGACTTCAGTGCAACTATAGCAAAGCAAGATTTTTGTGAATGATCTTTTTTATTTTTTTTTTCTATTTGTCAAAAATCTCATATTCAGTAAGAGAAAGCTCAGACTCTGGTACTAAAAGCTCCACCTAACCCTGGAGTGTAAAGATTGCAGAAATGTGGACTGGGGAAGGATTGCCCCAGAAAAAACAGGTAGGTGTAAGTTAAATGTTAAATTATCGGCACCTCTTTTTATATAAGGTCCCTGATGGTGAGATGTTTTTCTTCACACCATCTGGCTAGAACAAGGCTTACCAGGGCTCTTAAAGGACAGGGTCCATTTGAGGTGCAAAATTTATATCAGGTACTTTTTTTTTAAGTGAATGTCAAATCCTAAATAACTTCAGCATCAGACTGTGCAAAAAAGTACCCAACCCTGCTCAGCAAGTGGCTATGAAGTTTAAAATTTGATAATGGCTGAA